GTGATAAAGGCGCTGGGTCAAATGCAAGGATTATTATTAGAAAAAGGCACGAGAAAAGAATATTCAATAACTTTGGCCACTCTGGGCACCAGTTCTTGACAGGAGCTGCTACTGACTGGAGATGGTGATGAACAATATCAGGAATCTTGTCATGGACAGCAGAGGTGCGTCTCTCTGATCCAGCGCCTCCACATGGGAAATGTCTCGGAGAGCTTCACAGAGACAGGGTGGGACGCCGAGCAAGGGTGGTAGATAAATGGAATTAATAAAGTCTTTTATTTGCCATTATTCATGTGCCATAAACACCTAATCACTTGCTACACTTTTTACCCAAAAGCTTCAATAATTCATCATCTCATTTTACACATATTGAATAACGGTTGGCAAAAATCAAGTTTTATTTTATTGCAGAAATAATACTATGAACCATTAAAAGCATCAAGCATTTGTTTTTACTTAGGACAAACTTGCGAGAAGGATAAAAAGAAAATTAAAAGACGATTTATTGGCTTCACTCATTAATAATGAAACTTTGTTGTAAATATCAAGCATAAGAATCACAAAACTAACGTGAAAAGTTGTATTTCTTGGTACAGATTAGTGTTTTTAGAAAGTTTCACAAATTGATTCAAAAACAACAAGATTACATTTGTATAGTGCCTTTCGCGTCGGGAGGATGTGATACTTTTAATGGTTCATAGTATTATTTTCTGCAATAAAACAAAACTTGATTTTTGCCAACCGTTATTCCATGTGTAAAATGAGATGATGAATTACCGAAGCTTTTGAGTAAGAAGTGTAGCAAGTGATTCTGTCGAAGGATAAATACACCAGCACCTTGGAAAGTCATCAGCGGTAGCAAGATTCTATTGTCAAGTTCTTGATAGGAGCTACAATTTATTTGCGATCGTGTTGATGAAGAGTATCAAGTTAATCCTGTGATGGACAGCAGAGGTGCCCTGATCTGTCCCACAAGGCATTAGATGGAAGTGTACTTTCACTGTGCTTTTAAATTTTATTCCTGAAGTAACTGAACTTCAGCGCCACGAGAGAGGGAGAGAAAGCACAGAAGGGCATTGAAATCAGCCACACTGACACTTACGTATCCAGAGAGTGTTCATAAAATCCAGCAAGATACTTCGGCTTCTCCAGCAGGACCACCAGAGCCCAAAAAGCATCCTCTTCTGGCATGTTGATTAGCAGCATGGCAGCTATGTAGGACATCCCTGGCCAAAGAAAGTATTTTATAAAACAACAAAGGATTTTTAAAAAAAATGCACAGAACTGTCACATGCTGTAGAGCTAAAAATCATTCACACAAAATCAAATCCACATGCGCGAAGTTCCAGGTTCACCAGAGATCAGCAGATCAAAAATTGAGTATATTCTTGGGTTACATTTTTGCTATGTTTTTGCCGTAATTCTTCCAATGAAAGGATCTCTATGAATCATGACGATCTCACAGTGAGTGGAACACTATGAGGAAGTTTATTGGGATGAGGTCCCATTGTCAGCCTGGCTCCATAATCCACATTATCCGAAGAGAAATACCAAGCTGGACAGCCCTGAGTGTTCTGGAGTTACAATGAGAATGTTATATTTTTAACAAAATCACTTGGCCCCTTCTCCTCTATCATTTAAAATTAACGTATTACCTTTGAACAGAATGAATGAATTGGTATTTAAATGTTGGGTGACTCCTTCACCTTCCAGCGGATCAGAAAAATGCCCTAAGTGGTATTACTGTAATAATGTCTCCTGTTGTTAGACACTTCTCTTGGTGGAGGTGTTAGTTACCCAATTTTTCATCTGATCAATTTGAATAGAAAATGAGGCATAATTTAGTCAGAAAGTTAAGAATGATATTATCTGGATTGATAGGAAATTAGAGCACCTTAAGTTTGTCGAAGCATTGAATGTCCAGATTTCAAATATCAAAAGAAGCTGCTAATCCTATTGAAACACACGAGAGCTCTGAATCTTCGGTCTATCCAGACACAGAAGCCAACAACAAAACTGTCAAAAGAAACACAAAACCCTTTCCAAAGGGCAGGGTATTGTAAAACACTGCAGTGTCAGTGGATTTTGATTAGAGTCAGCAGGAGATGGTCTAACCCTCCAGTACTGATCAGCTATTCCTTACCTTATGATAATAATAATCCTTGCATTTGTTTTTGCGACATCTCAAAGCGCTTCGGAGAATACACCATAAAGTGAATACACTGTATATTTTATCCAAAGGCTTTTTAATAGATTAGAATTATTTATCATTGGAGAATATAAAGTGAAAGTCATTATTTACATGACAGGAATGAGAATTTGTTTACTTTACGGAATTCTGCAACGTTCTCCCACAAATGAACAGTCGAAAGGCACGTCCTCCCACTTGGGGAATGACAGGAATAGAGTCACAAAGTAAAGCATGATGAAAAAATAAACTCACAATGAAGATCGTATAACCCTTTTCATCTCATTCTTGGAGATATTTAACCTGTTAATGATCTGTCGATTGGCTTTTAAGTGCTTTAAGTGCAGTATTGATGCAGGTCTGATAGCTGGAACGCTAGCGCCCCCTTCTGGTGTTACTACCCACACACACACACACACACACACACACTATCCTACAGTTTAAAAGAAAGCTTTGAGCAAACAGTACACTTTCAATGTTCCCTGTATTAAAATAGCAAACTTTTCTTAGGTGTATGATTTGACATTCTCAAATTATAAATAATTCAAATTTATTGTGCAGCGTGAACACAAAAAACCGATAAAATCTTGGAACGAGCAGCATTTGATGAGAAATATGAATTGATATACTCAGTGAAAGAAATAAGGCCATTATTTTTCTCTTTTGTTTTCTCTTTCTCTCTCTCTCTCTATTACTTTCTCCCCCTCCATCCTCTCCCTCCCAAATACATTTCCTTTATTTGCAACAAAAATAATAGTTGAAGGGAAAATAAGGCGAAATTAAATATATAATTTCACGTTCAAGTTAAGTTGCTCTAAATTATTCTTTGACCTACCTTGGCAGTAGCCGATTTGGGGATTGTGCTTGGCATATGCTGACAGGATCCTGAAAAGCTTTGCTTGTCCCTCTTTAGCTTCAGGATTTTCACCCATCAGAGAGCAGTGAGTGGGAAAGGATCTTTCTATACAAAGGAGCATATAAAGAACACACCTTGTTATGTTTAATATCAGATACACTGATTAATAAATCACTCTTTACCCATTCTAAACTTTTGAAAAAAAAACTGAAACGAGAAAGTAAGATTTTACTTTATAAAAACAATGAGTCGTTAAATAACTGCTTTAAAAGACCGAAGCAAGGTCATCTACCTGCAACGTTAACTCACGTTCCCCTCTCCGTAAATGCTGCCTGACCCGCTGAGTGATCCCAGCTACTTCTGTTTTTTATTTCAGATTTCCAGCATCTGCAGTATTTTGCCTTTTATTGAATTTCAGTTATTAGGATTAAGGATAAATGGTTCTCACTAAAGCAAAGCCAAGCTGTGATTGACATGCTCAAACTGAGCACGTCAAAATATCTGAGACTGTAGCTTCAGACATTACAGTATAAATAGGTCAACTCTTTTCCCCAAATTTCACTATCTATCATGGTCACAGACATAAGTCTACAATCTAGGTGCCAGTGGCGTTCAATGTATGAGTCAATATTGATCCAAGTAGCAGCATAACCCTCTTAACGCGATATTTACATAATTTGGTGACACTAAATCCTAACTAATGGGTAAAATAACTCCTACAGCTTCCACAAACTGCCAGATTGTTGCACTAAATTATCTAAACCACTCACTGCTAACTCAGCATTCACAGCCCTGGTCCAGGTCTATGATACATCACTCTAAGAATGATTGCATTATCATACGCCTCTGAATTTTCCAGCACAACGCCAAAACCTATCACATGGTCAGATGAAAGAATTTATTTTTTACAATTCAACTGCTTACCAACATCCAGAACAATCTGTCTCAAGACGTCAATGTGAACCTTTGGGTTTTGGTCAGACTCCAGATTCTGTAGATGGAGTTGAACTCTGCTTTGTGTTTTCCCTCTCTGATAGTCAGCATTACACAGTGCAGAAATAGCCTGACGGACTCCATACCCGTTCACACCGAGATCATCCAGCTGATTGCGAATCTCGTACACATAGTCCTGAGAGAAAGAAGAAAGAGTTGGCCAACATGCCTCCAGTGAATAACAAACCATACTACACATATAAATATCAGAACATTTACATTTGTATTTGCTTCTACGGCTGCTGGTGACAAAGAAATAACAAACATATGAAAACTGTTTGAACCAATAGATTACTCAAATTCAGATATGGAATATGAGGTTTGAAGTTAGACTCAATGGTCCACTGCTTAAGAAACTCTCCTTGGTGGATATGCTGGGAAGAAAGGGAGATCCGAACAGTATTATTGTAATACCTTGTGGAACCACATCCTGATTTGTTTCTTCTGATTTCGCACTGGTTGTATTCTTTAACCCATTTGATCTCATCCTTCCAGAATACCCACCCTATCCTCTTCCCATCACAGCATCAAGCTGTTCTTTAATGAGTTCTGGTCTCAACCACCCTACCTGGTAACCTATTCAAGAACCCAGTTTGTTCTGATCTGAGAGGGTCCTCAAAGGGCTAATGTATCCTTAACCTGCCTCCATTGGGGCGCACTTTTACACATCGTTACACTGCAATGTGTTTAGCTTTCATCTTGATTTGTCACCTTTAATTATTTTATTTGGACACATTAAAAAAAATCATATTTTTATTTAAAAATGTATATTTTAGAGAATAAGCCCAATACCATTCTCATACCTGATAAGTCATGGCATTGGTTTCTTTACACAGGTCACTGCCCAGTAAACATTTCCACACAAAGCAGCGCAGTTGGAGAGGGACACCTTCTTCCAGGAGAACACGAATCTGCACAGGGTCCAATAAACAAAAAAATTTAAACACACTAGATAGGTTTGGAGAGTAAGCTTTGGGTTTTCAGTGGAGTTGGTGAACACAGAGTATTTAATTACATTTCCAAAACCCATTTGCAATGCTACCCCTCTACCGACGTTCCTAAACACCCTAAAAACATACGACATTGACTAAGCTCTACACAAGATCTTTCAACCTCTTGTTTGATTGCTTGGAGTCTACGACTTCATTGGCTGAGCACTTTAAGATGTTCTTTTAAGGCATTATATAAAAGAAAGCTATGGTCGACAGAGTTTTTGTGATGCTTTAGTTACCTTATTTGTGCAAGATGTACTAGCTTCATCCCAGTTGCAAAGTAGTTCTTTCCATGCTTCTATTTTTGAAGCACTTATCCTTGGGTAACTGTTGACAAGACACAAACATTTAAATTTGGGATAGATAATACAATAAGAGCCCAATCAATGATAAGGTATGTCCTTTGGGGTAAAATATTTGGGATTAGGAAAATAAAAGTAAAGATAAAGAAGATAAAGAGAATGGTGACCTCTAAGTCACTTAGTCTTTTACTGCTTTTACAGGTTAGTATAATTGAGTGTCAAAGGTGTGAACAGATACTCTGGAAACAAAGATATTGGAAACATGGAAACAGAATCTGTCATTATTCAATAAATCAGCAGATCAGGTTTGACAGACTGAATGACCGACTGTTTCAATAACAGATTTTTAATGGATAAAAACTGCAAGCATACTGGAGTGCAACTTGAGTGCAAACAGATACCCAGAAGGTCAGATTTCCATTGAAAAATAAACCTAAAAAAAATATATGAACTGTCTCTTTCCCATCTCATGTTGCCTTCTCCTTATAACACTTGTCACGACATAGACTTGCAACGATCAACAAGAGACCAAAACCGAATGTGAATGTCACCTTTTTTTTCTTGGAACCATTTTAAATCAGCTCCAGAACAACAGGTCACAATGGGGGGGGTGGGGGCGGCTGTTGAAGGAAACACCATCTCTGGGGTTCAGTCTCGCAGGTAACTGTTGTACTTGTCAGAAATAATGAAGCTCAATCGAGAGACACTTCTGTCTCTTGTTGTGTTGCCTGTAATGGGTGGCCCGGATTTGTGAACAGAATAAAAACAATCATAGTGGGTCCAACACTTCAACACAGCAATATTAATAATAATAATCCTGGCAATTGACACAGAGCCTGATAACGTCTTCGAAACATCTCAAAGCGCTTCACAGGACACACTGTAAAGTGCGGTGACCGTGTATTTTGGGGGCGAAAAAAATCTTGCTGACCCCCGTCCTGAACTTTGTCTGTCACTTGATGAAACAACTCGAGTTCTTACTCTGGACCAAGTGACTAGAGCGGCCGGGGACACTCAGCAGGTCAGGCAGCATCCACGGAGAAAGGAAAGTGAGTCAACCTTTGGGGTCCACGACCCTTGAGGTCACTTTCCTCTCTCCATAGATGCTGCCTGACCTGCTGAGTGTTCCCAGCCGCTTGCGGTGGTTGTTTCAGATTCCCAGCCTCTGCCAGCCGGTATTTGGGGGGGTTCATTTCGGGCTGGAGCCCCTCCGGTCTGGCAACCCGTCTTGTTACTGTGTAACAGTAACTTCCACCGCGCCTTCAGCTCCCCTCTCGACTCTCTACCCCCTCCTCACTCCCTCCCTTTCCTCCCCTCCCCTCACCCTGACCATTTCCCCCCTCCTCACTCCCTCCCTTCCCTCCCTCCCCTCACCCTGACCATTAACCCCCTGCTCGGTCCCGACCCAACTGTCCAGCGCCTTGGGACGTCCTCCCGACGTGAAAGGCGCTCTATAAATGCAATCTTGTTGTTGTTGTTGTTGTAACTTGCCTGTAGTCGTGGCTGCGATGCTCCTGTTTCCACCTGTCAGAAGATCTGCGAAACACAGCGAAGCCGAACTGGTCGAAACCCAGGAAACAGTGTGGCCGGGAATGGCTGGACCTGCTCATTGGTTTGGGTGTTTTTGTGTGGGTTTTAATTACAAACCTCCCCCCCCCCCACACCCAGACCCTAGGGAAGGGTTGTCCAAACCGCGTGTGTTTGATGCACAGTATGTGTTTATCTGTGCAGTGCTATAGCTCTCAGTGATCAGAGCGCTCACCTCGGGCCGGTTCCCGGTCGGGGCGGTTTAAACGTTGGACAAGTTTCCTTAGTCCACACACCTCTGTTTATCTCTGTGAGTAGGAACCCGGTTGTTAGTCGTTTGGTGGATAGGTTTTCCGGGGGTAACAATCCCTTCAAAAAAAAACAAATAATTTGGTGTTGGGAGAAGAAGGCGGTGGAAACTGAGGTGACCAGAGTTTCAAGTTATCTTCATGTTAAGGTGATCATCAGTAGTTGTCAGAGATCAAACCTAACAACTGAGCGGCTACTTCTGTAATACTGGCACTAGGATTAAGAGTGCATAGTGTAGTGACTGTATTTTGCAGGCACATGCGACCTCACGTTTGCGCACAGCAACGTCCCACAAACAGCCATGAAGTGAGTGACCATTTGCACTTGGGACATTGTTGACCAGGACACCAGGAAGAGAGAGAGAAATTCCCTTCTCTTTTTGAAAGCGCCACGAGATCTTTGAGGTCCACCTGAGCAGGCAGACAGGACTTCGGTTTAACATCTCATCCTGACGCAGCAGCACGCCCCTAAAATCAGCTTAAAGTCATAACTCAGATCTTTTCCTGACATGAAAGGCCCGACATCAACTGCAAGGTTTCCTCTTATTATTTTATCAGTCCAGCCAGTGGTACTTTACATTTATACGGACAAATTCCTCACCCTTTTGTCGATATTCCCTAAAATGGATTGTGAAATTTTAATTTGTGAATTTCAAGCTCAAGCGGGTCCCACAGAATCTCTCAAGGAGCTTCGATCTGCTCTCGTAACATATACTGGTTGACTTCTATGGTGTTATTGAATTTCACTCCTGTAATTAATAAAGTCTATTCCAACTGGGCCATAAAAATCATCACCCAAACGTTAGTCGTAGCTCACGGTACCCACTACATTTCGATTGTAAAGACTTTCTGAGTCCATCAATATCCATCCAAGCTGCAGGACGTCAATAAGAAGTGTACATTTATCAGATACTATCTCCTGCAGCTGTTGAACCCACGAGACAATGTGATCTTTAGTCTTAAAAAATGACAACTCTTTCTGTCTCTCCTCTCTCTCTCTCTCTCTGTGGCTTTAGAAAATATAATTTACTCCATGTGTAGATTGTCATCCTTTATCTCAAACTGACCACATCTGTGATACACGTAACAAGCAGATATCTGAGCTCCGCGTTTACTTTGCTGTTTGATTATTGGTTATCGAGCCTGGAAAAGAATGCGTTTACCGCAAATATAGATTATATTGGGTCAGTTATCACTGGCAGGGCATCACTGGCAGGAGATCACTGGCAGGAGATTACTGGCAGGGCATCACTGGCAGGGCATCACTGGCAGGGCATGTTTGCTGGTGTAAGGCATAGGAGAAATTTAATAAACTGAAGCTCCACCGACCAATATTATTTCTTCCGGCTCATTCTAGGTCTGAGAGTCTTAACCACCTGACTGTGTCACGCCCGGCCATGGGATATTCACATCGTGAGAGTTCTACCACAATCTGATATTATTTTACGCGGCAGTTTGTCACTGTCTCCGGTATCCCGGCCAACAATCCCACACAGATAAAATCCGTCATTCACTTCATGCCTGTTTGTGGGATGTTGGTCGTGCACAAATTGGCTGCGGTGTTTGTCTACAAAATAAGCCGTCAATTCAAAAGAGCATATGGTAAAAATACAAACAATTCAATGGAAAATCAAATCTACAGAAGCAATTGAGCTCAAACAGGGACAGCAGAAATATAGGCACGACAATCACCTTCAAATTGGACTGTTTTATTGACGTCTATATTTTATCAACATTACTGCAGTAAAAGCTAACGCTGACATCTCAGAAGTGTTATCCTGAAATATTAAGTGATTCTTGAGCCTCACAGTTTCCAAAGGGTTGAAGATAATACATTATATAATACTGCAAACAGCACAGGTGATGACCCACATGCAATGGCAGTGTCTGACTCAGCAAGTAATGCAATCAGTTATGTTCCAGCAATATGACCCCATTTCATCAGCATCAGCCTGGTTTAGTCAGTGGCACGCTCACCTCTATAATATATAATCATAGTAATCCTAGCATTTGATATAGTGCCTTATCAGGTCTTTGCGACATCCCAAAGTGCTTCATAGGATATATTGTAAAATGTTGTGACCGTGTATTTTGTGGGCGAAACCCAGCAGCCAATTGCGCACAGCAGTTTCCCACAAACAGAGTGACAAAATTATTATTAGAATTATTAGTATTATTTTTTCTGAGTTAGAAGGTTGTATATTCTAGTCCCACATCAGAACTTCACATCCGTTCACTCAGGAATCAAACTTTACTCAGTAAATATTTACTCTCTAGACTACCAGGGCACAACTCAGAATCACAGCGCTATAACAAAACACACTGAATGGAGGCTGCCTTTATTATAAAGTGCGGCATCCTGTCACAGTGTGACAACAGGACACAACTCGCATAGTTTTTGTTGGTGATACATTTGTAGGCTGTGGTTTTTAATCCTTTTTCAATCTCCATAATAACAAGTCCCAGCAAATTTTCCCTCAACGCTCTTCACATCAGCAAATCTACCGCAGCCGACATTATTTAATCGTTAAGAAAGTGGAACTCACTCATCTCCACAGAGGTAGATGAATGCAATTTTATTTCTTACACCTTAACGATAGGCTGTAGAGCTGCTGTTTGCTGCTGTCCACTCAATGTACACAATCTGGAAGTAATTTGGAAGCTTAACTGAATAACATACAAGTGATGAAAGGATAAGTATGTGATGAGGTTCACGATCAAACATTGAGGTACAGAACTGCACAGATTTAATGTGCAATGATTTAACAGATATTTTTCGGCCAGGGCTTGGGTTAGTGCATTTTTATATATTGCTTCAGTAATAACAGAAATCCAAGAGCCAGTCCTTCCCAACAGCCTTCACTGTTGTCTCTGATAGTTTCAAAGTGCTGCATATAATGGTAAGGGAGCATTAGAGAAGCAGAGGGGAAAAACAAACCCGATGTTAAAAAACAGTACCCCAAAACATGGAATTAGTCCTCTTTGGTTGGCAGTTTGCCTGCAAAACACATAGTCACTACACTGCGCAGTGAATCCCATGTACAGTTTTGAGATATGTTTCCTCACCCACCGCCCCCCCCCCACCTCTGGGCATCAAAGGCGCTGTATCAAATGCAAACATTATTTAGATTTATTATTTATTTAGTTCTAAAAGGAAATTAAAACATAATCCTATCTCCGAGTCCATTGCCAACATTGGTATCGTATTTCATGAGCGGAAATTTTATATCGCAAAAGTATCCCTTCTTTAAATACTTTGAGACATTCCTTCAGTCTCAGATGGTTGTCGTCTTTGAGTAACTGGAGGAAGACACCGTATAATCATGCCTTCAGCCACTACGTCCCAAAACTTTGGAACTCTCTCCCTCAGACCCCCCGCCTTGCCCCCTCCCTCCCCACCTTCAAATCATACCTAAAGACCTTCCTTTTTGATTATGCTTATGGTCACTCCCCCCACCCACTGCCTGTGGCTCAGTGTCAGACTCCGTCACTGTGAAGCACTCTGGGACACTAGCCCGTGTGAAGGGCGCTGTTGTTGTCGCTGTTGTAACCTTGTGAGTTAACAGCTGGTTAAGTGTTACAGCAACGTAACTATAGTTCTGAATTTGTATAGACTCGGGCTGGGATATTGAGTTCCATTTGGTACACATTATCTTTTTAATGCTACGAGGATAAAAGCAGAACTTTATCATGAAAGTTTTCCCCTGTTCCCCCCCCCCCACCCAGGCCTGGCTCTCACACCCCAATCCATCTTTTCCCTTAAAAGTTCCAGCTAGATATGTAGTAGCCTCTTCACCTAACGGCTGTGTTGAGTGTCTGCCACCAGTGTGGTCGGAGGCTAGTCCTCTGTCTGCAAACTCCTCACAAAGCATTAGACGCAAGAGCAAATAACTCAACGTTTTCTCAGCTGTGCTGCTCATTGTGGTCCAAGCTTAAAAATGAACGACCCTTTACAAACTGCTCTTTCTCTTTCAGTTTCAATATTTGGGTAGAGAGGGTATCAGACACCAAGAATTTTGTATGGAAGTTTAAGGGATAAAAGGAGAATAAACAGGGGTAGTCAGTCTACGACCGGAAAGCTGCTCTTGCAATGAATTCTCTTAAGATTCTCTCACTCTTCCTGGTTCACCGAGAAAGAACTTTGGAATTCTTATAGAAAAGTGAAAATGGAAGCTTGTTTGTCAACCCACCAGCACGATGAAATTACCGGTTGTATATCTTGGTAAAACACAGCGCCTTTCAAGCACGTTGTAAAGGACTTGGCATTTTTAAAAAGGAGTAAATTACATGGGGGATGGGGAAAGGGTAGGTGGAGGGGACTGAAAGGATTTCTATTTAAAAAGAAGCAGCACAGTCACAACGGGCCGAATAATAATAATAATCCTTGTATTTGATACAGCTCCTTATCACGTCTTCAAGACGTCTCAAAGCACTTCACAGAATATACAGTAAAGTGAATTGATTATATAATAATTTGGTCTCTCAATCCACAACTGTTTGTGGGACACTACTGTGTGCAATTGGCTGCCACGTTTCGCCCACAAAATATACAGACAATTCACTTTACAGTATATTCTGTGAAGCACTTAGAGACGTCTTGAAGATGTGATAAGGGGCTATATCAAATGCAAAGATTATTATCATTACTGTAATATAATATAGCATTGGAGATACAATTTATGAATGTAGTAATTCTTTGTTCATTTTAAAAACCACTAACAATCTCCAACGCTCAACAAGTAGTAGAGGTATAGATTATTGCGCAGAACTACTTATAAACCAACAATTACCCACAATCCACAAATAAATATTCTATGA